TTGGAACGACATTTCTGTCTCTAATCAGTGAGACACTTATCCCCTTTGACTACCGTCACTCCAGTCTTGTCGAGATAGTGCATCACAATGATCCAATAAACTTCGCTTGTTCCTTTATCTCCCTCCCCTCTCTCCTCTCTTTGCACCTCTCCCTTCCCCCCTTTTCCTTGGCCCCTCTCTCTGAGTGTGTGTGTTCTACCTCTGGAGTGAGCTGAAGATAAATTCCAACTACATGATGGTTTTCAGAACATTTTGTTACTTTGTTCTAGCTTAAGGAAGCAAAGGGTGTCACATGGAAGGCTCACCCTATGCAGTAGATCTTAATTCTACTGTTTCCCAAGGTAATAGCTGAATGTCTCCAGACAAAACTTGTACCCCATTAAGCCTCCACAACTTTAGAAGCTGGTGATTCTGAGATGAGATAATTTCTTGAGGAGTGGGGGAGGGGAGAGCATATCAGCAATCTGATGTTAGAAGTACAGAAGTACGTGTGTGGTTCACAGGGGGCACTCGGAGCTCTCAAAAACTAAAGAGCACAGTACAATGTAATCAGTACAGAGCTGGGTATGCCAAGTTCTCTGCATTTGTAGCAACAAGTACCAGAGGCCCAAGCTGTCACACTCTAGTTGGCCTCTGGGTTGTGGTGGCTCAAGTTGAAGCACTCACAGAGTGTTTGATTGGTCAGACCTTTAGGAGGCAGTAAGAACAGGACATTGGTCTACTCTGCCCAACCCCAGGACCTCCTCTCTATGCCCTACTGAATAAAACTTCCTGTAAGGACTTCCATCTTGCAGCTGACGTTTGGAGCCTGCCTTTCTCTCTCTCAGCAGCTTTCCTCAGTTTTTCAGCTCTAGACCACACAGAGTCTCCTAAGAAGAACACAGTGAGGACATTTGTGACAAGGTACTTCAGGACCTACCATGGGTAAGTTGAACAGCATGGGGTGTTTGCCCAGGTTTGCTTAGGGCAAGGGTGATACTGCGCTTTCCTCTTCCTTTATGGCCCTTAGGTGACCTCTTTAGGAACAGAGTGGGGGTGGGGTGGAGGGACCCACAAGTTGTTTAGTTTCCACTCTCCAGAAGACAAGGATCAAATGAGTACCGAGGTGATTGTCATGTTTCTTTATAGAAAGCCTCTTGTGGAAGTAAAGTACAGTCCCCTGCTTACCACTCCCTCACCCCCAAACCCATTCAGAAGAAAAAATCTGAGCTTTAGGTCATCTCCAGTCTAGGATTTGAGAAATAGAAAATATGACCTAGAGAAGGGTTTGGTGGAAATTAATATTCTTCATATTCATACTAGTGTTAATAAAGGAACAAGGAAGCAACCGTGGATTGAATCTACTTCAGTCATTCTGAACATTGCATTATCCTTATAGAAGTTTCTAGATACTTGCTTTATGTTGTGTGAACAGTTCTGAAACATCTTACATGTGTGTAGGGTTCCATGTCAATTAAATACATTTGTTATCTATGTATATATAATATATAAAATCATATGTCTTACCTTTGTACATAAATGACATTTCAGGTTTTCCTTGAAGTCTTGGGCTAAAATGATGCTTTTGCTTTTTGCCTATTTTGTTTCTGAAATTGTTTAAATCTTCCTTATACACATGAACTATTTTCTGATAGATTTATCTGTTGTTAAATGTTGAAAATTTCCCCAAATTTTGTATTTGTCCACTTATCTTTCCCTCCAGTCAATTTTATTTCTTTATATTAAGATATGCATGCAAGTACAGACTTTAATACCATCTTCTTATTTTATTTTTAAGACTTTATTTATTTATTAAGCACACAGTGTTCCTCCTGCATGTATGCCTTCAAGCCAGAAGAGGGCATCATATCCCATTATAGATGGTTGTGAGCCACCATGTGGTTGCTGGGAATTGAACTCAGGACCTCTGGAAGAGCAGCCAGTGTTCTTAACCTCTGAGCCATCTCTCCAGGCCCATCTTCTTGTTTGATTGAAACTTTTTAAAATACTTTTTTAAAATTGAAACTTTATCACTATGAAATGTCCTTTCTTACTATTCCGTTCCTCCCCCCTTTCTCTCATGCTTGATACAGTGTCTCACACAGCCTTTGCTGATCTTGAAGTTTTTATGTAGGCAAGGATGATCTTGAACTTCTGACATTTCTGTCTCCTACTCTTAAATGCTACAAGAGAGTGCCGTTACCCTTACCCTTAGTCTATGCCATGCTGGCCAAGGAACCTACAGTCTTATTCATGTGAAGAAGGCAATCTATCAACTGAACTATATCCCTGCCCCATAGAATTCCTTTCTTCCTTTCTTTCTCTCTCTCTCTCTCTCTCTCTCTTTCTTTCTCTCTCTCTCTCTCTTTCTCTCTCTCTCTCTCTCTCTCTTTCTCTCTCTCTCTCTCTCTCTCTCTCTCTCTCTCTCTCTCTTTCTCTCTCTCTCTCTCTCTCTCTCTCTCTCTCTCCTTCCTTCCTCGCTTCATCCCTTCCTCCCTCTTTCTCTTTCTTTCACTTTTTTCAAGACAGGGTTTCTGTATGTAACAGTCCTGGCTGTCCAGGAACTCACTATGCAGACCAGGCTGGCCTCAAACTCACTGAGATCCACCTGTCTCTGCCTCCCAAGTACTGGGATTAAAGGTGTATGCGACTACCACCCAACCCAAATATCATTCTGTAAAATTACTTTTTCTATTTCCAATATAAACCTGCAGTTGGATAGTACAAAATTATATTTGTGTTGTTATTTTAAAATATTATATATATACACATATGTACACACACAATACGACTAAGCAGAAACCTTTGTATTAAGACTGAAAGAGGCAACCCAGCAGGAGGAAAGGGGTCCCAAAAGCAGGCAAAAGAGTCAGAAACAGCCCCTGCTCCAACTGTTAAGAATCCCACAAGAACATCAAGCTACTCAGTTATAACATATGCAGAGGGCCTAGGTGAGTTTTGTGTAGACTCCATGATTGTCAGTTAAGTCTCTGTGAGCCCCTAGAAGCCCAGATTAGTTGAGTCTGCACATACACAAATCTGAAGAAAAGAATATTAGGACTTATTCCTCCCACTTGTACACATGAACTATTCTTTATTCACCCCTCCTTCCACAGTTTCCAACCTCTGCTAATCACATGATACTCTCTGCTTCTAGGAGTTCCACCTTTTAAGCTTCCACATATAAATGAGAATGTTTTGCCTTTTTTATTTAAAACTTTTATATAGAATTAAATTTTATGTGTTTGAAAGTACATTTGACAGAATCCTTCCTTTCATTTGTTCTCAGACAGGGTCTCATTATGTAGGCAAGTCTGGCCTTGTACTCCCTAAGTAGCTAAAGCTGGGCTTGCATTCCTGATTCTACTGTCTCTACCTTCCAAGTGGTGACTTTCAAACATGTTCCACCATACCTGGCAGATGGAATTTTTTTTTACATAGTCAGACTTTGTCTGCCCTTCAATTTGGAATATTTAACTTACTTTTAATAAAATAATAGGTTTAATTTGGTACAGATATGTTATTTTTATACATTTATCTTTATTTACTTTTATTCTTTTATTTTTTATTATTATATGTTGAGTTACCACCACTACCCGGCATACCTTTATTTTTACCTGTCCTCAGATAATACATGATCCTTGCACCATTATCACTCTTTACCCTCACCCGATTTGTCATGTGCTTTCACTGTATGTGAGGTAGGAAAACCATATCTTCTTTATTATTTTCCCTTTTCTTTTTCTAGTCTTTTTTATAGTAGTTATCTGAGATATGCATATGCATTCCAGAAGAAGTATTGTATTATATACTAAATACTCAGGTTTGTCTATAAATTTATCAATATCACTGACTTTTCTTTACTGCCTGGAAGTCTGTTTGAAGACCAGCTTGACCTTGAACTTATGGAAGTCTTCTTTTCTCTACCTACTAGGGGCTGGTATTATAAGTGTGTGCTTCCAGACCCCAAAGGGATGTTTCTGATTTTTAAAACATTCATTCATTCATTCATTCATTCATTCATTCAGTGTATTGCATGGGTACATGTTTGGAGGCCTCAGAACAACAGGAAACTTGAGGAAGACAGTGCTCTTCATGCACAGTGTGGGTCTAGGGCCCTGAGCTACAGTGCTCAGGCTAGGTGGCGAGCCCTTACCTGCTGAGCCGTCTCACAGACTACTTCTGTTTTAGTTGAACTTTTTAAGGTTTATTTACTTAATGTAAGAGTGTTCTGTTTGCATTTATGCCTGTGCGCCGTATATGTGCCTGGTACTTGAGGAGATCAGGGGAACACATCAGATTCCCTGGAACTGGAGTTACAGATGGCTGTGAGCCACCATGTGGGTGCTGGGAACTGAACTCCCATTCACCACAAGAACAATAAGTTCTTGAAATTGATGAGATATTTTTTCTCAGTGTACACAGCCCTTCTATTCTATTGCTGTTTTTATTTGAACTTGAAGTCTCTTTTAATTGAAACTTCTCAACTGATGTGTTAGCCATGCCTGCCATATTTTCTTTAACTTCTTCCCTTCTCTTTTCCTAGTCTTCGTGAGAATATTTGAGCAAGACACAACCTGGATATTTTGTTCTGCTTTATGTATCATTTGTCTAGCTCTTCTTTCAGGCAGGGAGTTTGCCTGTGATCCTTGAACCATAAAAAAAAAAACCTTTCAAGATAATTTTTGTTATTTTTCAAACAGAAGAGAGGGTCAAGATTGAGGAATGAAACATAATTTGTCTCAGATCACTCTGCCCGAGAAGGGCAGGACAGTCAGGACCATCACAGAGCAATTGTTGAGCCCAGACCTTGACCGCTGTGTTTGTTTTCTCTTTAGCTCCTTGCCTCTCATCTCCCAGGAGGTGGAAGCGCAATGAAGGCTTTCAGTATTTTTCACACTGATTACAGATATTTGGGGGTGGGATATTATAACAGCTAACAACCTTCATTTGCCATTACATTTCCCCAGTACCTTTTTTTGGGGGGGTACTATACATTAATGTCTTGATTTTAATTTAAGGGCACAGTTCTGAAACTAACCCTTATCAAAGAAGAATGAGATGTCGAAGAATTTTCCGAAGGACATTTCCCAACTCTACTGAACACATCAGTGCTACAACGCATACTTCATTCTCTCAGCAGCAAGGTGGAGAGACAGCAATGAGTGATCCTCCCATATATACTAGAAGAAGATAGTAAGTGACCAGTCAGTATGATTGGAATATACCAGGCTAGTGAATGCATAACACTGTAGTTAAATATGTAGTTAAATAAGTGGTTGAGCAATCTTTCTGTAGCCTTGGTACAAGTGGGGCAAATGGTCTATTGGAGAATTTCTAAGTATATGTGGACTACTTTTACTTGTTTCCTGACAGCACTCCATATGGTATTCCACCCCGTCATCAGAGAATCAACTTACACAAACGAAACCAAATGTATATTAACAGGGAGGGATGGCTAATACCTCCAGAGAGAAAAATGGAGGACAAGCAAGATGACACCTCAAAGAACTGGTTCAAGGTCATAGTAAGTACCCCAGAAAATGGATCTAATACTCAAAAGAAGGCAATCAAGAGGAGTTGTGTTGAAATTGAGTAGAGTTATTGGGTGGGTTTTTTTGGGGGGGGGATACAGTGGAGTTGACAGAGGAGTCCACATGCTGAATCAATTAAGGGGCAAATCAGACAGGCAATGAACACAGACCAGGGTGACTATAGGGAGAAGTCAGGGAGTCGTGTGTAAGCAAAGGAAGAAATCCATGTGAGAAGATATAACAGCTCTACACTAGATGCCCCAGTTTTACTAAAATTGTTATGTGTGTATTGAAGAGGTGGTTGGCAAAGTGTCTTTGGGGTCCCTATTAAAGAAGGCTAGTCTGCCATAGGTAAGATCTCTTATTATGGCTTTATAAATGAAATCATATTATAATCTCAAAAATCAGAGAAATAATAAAAAGTAAATTAGCTATTAAAATTTAAAAAGTTGATTCTCATATCTGGAGTTTTTATTGAAGGAAACCACCTGAATGAAAGGCAAGTAGATTCAGGAAATCCACAGGTGATATAAAGGAAATAATAAAATTTGTTCCATCTTTAGAAATTGCCTTAAAGCCTAAAAGCAAACATATTTGAGTCCTTCCATTTTACGGCTTTCTTTAAGTAAAATTAACAAATAATAAATCACATGCATTTAAAGTATATAGCTTAACACCACTTGGCTGCACATCTGTGAAACCATTTTCCCAGTCAACATGCCCATCAAACACATCAAGCATCCTTGCTTCCCTTTATAATTGTTTTCTTCCATTCTTTCCCCATATCATTTTTTTTTCAATCAACTCTTGGTTAGTTTTCTACCACAGTAGATTTGTCCATATTTTCTAGATTTTTATGTAAACAACTCATGTGGTATGTTATGGGCTGAACTCTTTTGTTCGATTAACTTTGACTTTAAATTCCAATGTGCCACATACATGTAATTCCAGCTGTTCAGGAGACTAAGGCCAGAGGATTACTCATTTGAGACCAGCTTGAGCAATGCCACAAGACCCTATCTTAATGTAAAATAAGGAACAGTGAAATAAAAAAAAATATAAAAGTTTAGAGCAAAAACCGAATACTTGATGCAAACTATAGGTTTTATTTTCTTTCTCTTTACAGACAGCACTTTCCATAGGCCAGAGAATGTAGCAAGGATAAGTATTTAAGTTTATAGAGGTTTATCATGAATTAGTTAGATAATTTCAATTCTGCCCAGTCTGTTTTCATCCTTTTTACAGTATTTCCACCGTACATATATAAAATGAGACTTCTATGCCTGTATCATATTTGTGTCTATAATGTATATTCAGATAATGATATTTTGTTACAGCGTCTTTATTATCTCAAAAGAGTTCTGAAAGTAAGTACTTGAAACATAGAGTTTTAAGACATTAATTATTTAATACTGAAACACCTGATAGAAGCATGAGTGTTTAAATCTAGTTTATTTGTTCCAATAACTGTACTTTTGCCACATTAATATATTTGCTCATTAAAGAGTGTATTGTGTAATTACCTTTCATGCATGAAATAAATAAATTCCAATGTGCCGATATTTTCTCCTATCATTTTTTTATGTTTGATTCTAGATTCTCTCTGGCATAAAATATGATAAGAAGTGGCTGCTGGATTTGATTCAGAGCCAGTGCAATATCCCTTTCACTCCAGTAGAGGTAAGAGGAATCAGGACAAATGATGGGCTCTATGAACCATGACATTTGCCCATATTCTATTTCTCTCTCCCTTATCCATGCAGTTTCACTATGAGAAAATGCACGCCCAGTTTTTTGTTGATAATCCCGACATTGCCTTTGAACTAAAAAATATCAGTGACAAGATTTGGGATGAGTCTAATAATAAGGTATGTGTCAAGAGTGTGACTGTGAAAAATTGCAAGCCAGGGTCAATATCTCGTATGATTCCGGGGCATCTCAGTTCTCATTGTCAAACCAAACTCTCATTTGTTCTCCGCAGATCACAATCTTCATCAGCCCCTGTGATGAACCCCACTTGGTGACAGAGCTGAAGTCAGAGAAGATGGACCGAATGAAGGTAATGTAGGATTAAGACATTTTATATACCCACAGCTGGACCTGTGCCTTTCCCCCATCTCTTGTCCCTTATATCACTTCTGCTTCAGAGTCATGGAACTCCATCTGTGATTCTGAAGCTGGCTATGAACCAACAGGGTGCTACTTCTCAGCAATTTCTTAATATGCCGAGACTCCCATTTGTGCAAGGCGTGATTGACAGCAGTAAGTCTAGAGGAAATAAGGGAAGAGGGGCTGGCTGGTGTGGAAATTTAGGAATTGTAAGTTAAGGAGAAGTTGGTGCTGGCAACTCCTCTGTATCAGCTCTGTGTCAGCCAACTGCCTCTTCGCCTTCTGATTCTCTGTTCTTGATTCCTGAAGACTTGTTGGCCCATCCTACTGACTTGTCACTGAATCTTAGAAGGTGCATGGCTCCATCCTTGGATTTTTATGAAGAGGACATGACGCAGGTAAGACCTTACACTTGATGCTGTTTGGAGAGTAAGTTTGGTAGAGATTAGCTAGTACTTAGTTTGATCTCAAATATTCACTGTTGTTTCATTTCACTCTATTTTTTTCTATTACCTTAGATGTTGCCCTTGAACCAGAGTAACAGTAAACCCTATCAGATGTTTGGCTTCCCTGATACTAAGGCAGCGGCCCCTACTATTGACAGCCTGGATGAATCTGGAAATGAGGTGAGACATAATACTGAGATATTATATGAAAGGAGAAGTGGTCATTGGAGCGTTGACAAGAGGCAGGGAAGTGGTAAGGGATCAAGGGAAAGAGCTGAGGGTTCAAGAATCTTTTCTTCTCTTGATCCATGTATTTATTCCCATAATTGCAGATGAAGTCTTCAGGGACGGTAGTCAAGGGGCAAGACCTGGATCCCGAAGAGATACGTGAAGACCAAAGCTCTCTGAGTACTACCATCCCGGATAAGTCCAGTAACATAAAGTCAGTTGTATCTTCAAGAGGAGCAGCTCTGTTTTTTTGGGAGGACTGCAGACCTCACTATCAACTCTGTCTATATCCTCAGCTGTCCCCATGCCACTCCTTCTCCTCCGCTCACGTCATCTGGGGTGTGATTCCTATGTCTGAGCACTTAGTCTCCTCCAGCGTGCACTCTGGTGCTTTAAAAAGATGACACTGGGCTCCTCCCCTATCCTAACCGGAGCTCCCTTTTTCTTTCTCTTATAAAGTCCCTTCATCTGTTCCAGGCTGCCCTGAAGGCTCTGTTACCACAGGATGAGGTCAGGGGTTCTGAATGATGATAACATTACCTACTTTGGACCACTGTTGGGGTGGCTTAGTCCTCTTGGAAAGAAACATGGGTTCCCTGAACTAAAGATCTAGAAGTGGGCCAATGTCAGAGAGCAGAGGGCTCCCTGGGTCAAGAGGAACCTGTGGAGAACCAAAGACGCCTCCATCTCTTCTGTCTTCCTTATCTACCTACCAACCTTGCTCATCATCCTACCTAATGTTAAAGAGGATCCCTGCATAGCCTCCATAAGCAAGTTGATTCCCTGGCTTAGACCCATACTCAGACACACACAAGTAGAGAGGACCTCCAGGAGAGAACATAGTGACTATAAGAGCCAGCTGCTACTGAGGAATGTCCCTGTGCCACAAAGAGGCTCATTGCTCCCAGAATGAGCCCTGCATAGGAGAAAATACTAGCCTGCATTCAACAGTACCTAATACTGTGAAGTCTTCGCTTTCATTCTTGCTTTGGGTCCTGGGCACAGTCTGGAGAAGATGACGTAAAAGACTGCTTCGGAGGAGCCCTTTTCCCCTCTATTACCAGTGACCCCTGACCTTTAGTACCAGGCCAGACAAAACATCCTCCATTCCGTTTGTGTGGCTTCCTTTTTCTCCTTTGCCTCTACTCTCTGTGTCTCCCCCACATCTACCTCACCTACTTTCATTCCCTTCCTGTTACTATCCCCATGCCTTCCTCTTACTGAGTCCTGAGCCATGCCTTTCTCACCTCCCTGCCCCAGACTCCCTAGAATGGTGGGCACGAGCAAGGCGACAGAGTCCTGGGATCTCATCCCATGCCTCGCTCCCTGCAGAGCTTCCCATGGAGACTGTGAGGAAGGGAAATGAGTCCTTGGAGCTCTGTTTCTCCAATGCGGCTTCTTGTGAGCCTGCAGAAAGGAATTCGAGCAGGGAGTGTAGGAGCTACCCAATAAGAAGAGAGAAGACGGCAGCAGGGAAAGACAATGCTCTTTCTTCTTGGTCATTGCCACAAGGACTGTCTTTTCACTTTCAATTAGTTTTAAATGGTCATATCTGTGTTCCTATATTTATATGGCAGAAGATGGATGAATACATTAAAAGTTAATGTATTAATCAGACATGATATCTAACATATATTAATGAGATGCCATGCAATGATTGTACATACATATACACTACATAGTTCTTAACCAGGCTGCATTTTTTTTTTTGGTAGTTCAATTCTGGAATTGTTCCCCAAGTTATTAAGCCTGGTAAGTGTATTCCTTGATTATCAATTTCTCTAACTGGGCCTGGCAGTACATCCAAAATGCTCTGAAAGCTAATAGGTCTTGCTTAAGTTAAACTTTTTGAACCTGTCCCTTCAAAGCGATATGGAGAAGTGATTCAGATTCACGGGAGAACTTGCCAACGGCAAGTCATGATTCCAGCCTAACGTCTATCAGTGACATTTCCAGGGTCCTCTTCACACCTGACTTCCCCATCTGCAAACACATCCCTTTCCCTCATTATCCAGCGTCGTCTGCCAGCTCTGCATTGAGTTTTCTTGCCTCCCACAGGAAGGACAGGAATCTCCTAAACCAAGTCTCTGTGGCCTCGAGGACCACAAGAGTTTACCAACTTGCAAGGTGAGGAGAGAGTTTTGAGTGTGTGTATAAAATGGTTCAGAACCTACATCCTGTTTGCTTTTATTTCAGGGGAGTTTTTTTGGATCTGAGGCTGTGAAGACTCTGGTCCTACAGTTCCTGCAGCAGTAAGTACCTCCGGAACCTGACAAAAGGGAGCCATGTGGGAAGTGAGGCTACAAAATTATAGCTCTATTTGATAAAACTTTGAACTCTCATTTGAGGCCCAAACCGATGTGATTAGCCTATCCTATGACTTCGCCCCCAACAGGTATTTCTTCATCTATGACAATGGAGATCGGCAGGAACTTGTTAATGCCTACCACGCTGAGGCTTGCTTCTCTTTGACCGTCCTCTTCAGTTCCATGGACTCATCCTCGTAAGTAGCACAATCAGCTCAAGCTATGACCTAGAGCACTGCACCCCACCCTCCAGCAGATACAGGCAGTCCCTTGGAACCCTTACACTCGCTGGACCACCAGTTCTGTGTCCTCCTTTTCTCCTAGGAGTAACTTGTGCGGGTACTTCAAGCACAGCAGAGATATGAAGGTTCTCAAAGATCCTTGTAAGTGTGTGACGGGCAAGACTAGACAGCGTAAAGAGGGCTAGAGGGCACAATCACAGATGCCAGAGGCTAAGGTTCCTGTTGTTGCCCTCCCCATTTCTGACACTCTCTCTTGATTCCAGACCAACAGCTGCTTATTCCTAGACCCCTTAGGCCATGACTCTGACTGGGAAATGGTGTGTGAGTGTCCAAAAAGCATGTGGGACTCTAAGGACTTTTTTTTTCTCTTCTTTTTACAGATATGCAGCAGCTGCTGCTGAAGCATAAAAAATATGAGATTATTTGCTTTCTTCATACATTGCCCAAAACTCAGCATGACCTCCCCTCCTTTGTGGTGGACATATGTTTCCAGACAGTAAGCCCCTGCTCCTTCTGTGGGCCACAGCACATACTCAGAAAGCTGAGGTTGGGGAGAAAGTTATGCAGGACGCTGAGCTCATGCATTTCCCTTCCAGGAGACCATGCTGTGCTTCTCTGTCAGTGGATTGTTTAAAGAAGGTGAGTGTCTGCAGAATCCGCTCTCCAGACCCTATCCCGCTCCCTGCCCTAGATGTGGACCCCTGAGAACTCCCCCAGGTCCCCTCATTGTGTGCCTTTCCTCCCTTGTGCTCTCCTGCCCACGGCACCCTGCCCACAGACCATCCCGGTCTGACCCTGACCAAGGGCTGTGCCTGTCTACCCCACAGCTCCTGGGTGAGGGAGGGCACTGGAGCTGTGGGGTTGGTGGCTCTCATTCCAGATCCTTACTCTGACTTTGGGTCAGTTGCTTAACCTCTGCATTTCCATGTTTGCAAATGTTGCTTATTAAACTGCCCCCCTACTCCCCACCCCTGTAAGGGAGATGCGAAGCAGAGACCAAGTGAACACCGAAAGTGATGTTCACATGGTCCAGCATGGGGTAGGGGTCCCATCAACAGGAGTGGATCTTTTCCATTGCTGCCAGCCCTCTCCATTCTTGTAAGCCATTCCTGACTCCAAGCCAAATATCGAGTGGTTCTTGGCTTCTTTTTGTGTAAGACCCTGACTGGAGAATGCCCTGTGAGGGTCTGAAGCATTGACAACTCTAAAGGCACATTATTCTTTCTTGTCCTTGAAGCAGAGGGCAGCTCTCAGGGTTGTGTTCACGCCTTCACTCGGACCTTCATTGCTACCTATGGCAACAGTTCTGAGTAAGTGCTGTGTTGTGGATGGGCACTCTCACCTGAGCCTCGGGCTGTGCAATGTGGTGGTGGAGTCCTCGGGGTATGACCAATATGTGGAAGGTCAATGGGGAGAGTCAAGGAGTAGTCTAGTGTAGTGGCTGAAAGTGTAGACTCTGGGGTCAGACTACCAGGCTCGTTCTTGCTGTACCACTCACTTATTCTGTGAATTTGGTCAGATCACATTTCCCATTTGTAACTCTGTCTTCTAAAAATGTTGATTATACTGTCCACCCTTTTTTTTGCTGATAAAACCATTGTTGGATTAAAGTTGAATCTCCTGCTCTATTGATATAGATAGTCTGCAACAGTGTGCTCCCTCTCAGGGAAGAAAAGCAGGACAAAGCAGGAATATGGGAACGGCCCGATTGCGGCTCGGTGAGAAGCTTATTTTGTCTGTTTTCCCATCCATCTCAGGAAATGTTTTCCCTTCAGCCTTTGTATCATCAACGACAAGCTGCTTGTGAGGGATGTCCAAGGGCTTCCCAGTGCCTCCATTCCTGTGGCCACATCTTCTTCCGGCTGTTTGCCTGCCCTCTTTCAGGATCAACAGAAGATGGAGCAGACATTCTCTACACAGGCTGGGATGAATGTTGAGAGCTCTCAGACGTGAGTGTTGGTGTATACAATGAAGTAGTGTGAGGAAGGGGTAGGATAATGAGTTATGGAAACATACAAGCTTTGCTTCTTTATTTCGTTCACTATCTTATGGATCACTTTCTTCTCAGTTAAACAGTGGGCTAACTAGCCATTTTAAATAGCTATTTGCTAATTCCCTGAAATCCATGGACCCTGTTCATGAATGAGACACATTTGGATCTTCAGGAATTTGCTTATATTATGGCACAAGTATCATCTTGCCGAATATCTTGAAGTATATGTAGAGGCGTGTTTCTGTCGCATAGATCAGGACATGCCTTTGTGTTGTCAGTGTATCTATTCTTGTGTCTTGATGCCTACTGTCTGGTCATACTCTATCACAGGTGCCTTGATGATGAGCAGTGGAATCCAGCAAAGCTAGTCAAAGCCTTTCCTGGCTCCAGGTGAGGTGTGGGAATTCAGGCCAAGCGAGAAAAGGCCAGCTGGCCTGGAAATGATGCTGCTATTCTTGCGTCTGCTGGTCTCCCAATCGTGTCCTTCGTTTCCTACAGGTAAAGGATGAGAGCCCCGAGCATACCTGCATGCAAACAGGTCCAGGATTCTAAGAACAACACACCAAGAAGACGTTCCTAGGTGTCACTATCTTATCTCTTCAAATCTTTGTTGTGATTTTGTTCTAGCACGGTAATTTCCATGTAAATAAATTGGGACATCTGGGAGCTAAGGCACCCTGGGAGCTAAGGTGGAGTTTGTAAAGCTAACTCTCATGTATCTAAATGACCTGTTGCTTGTGTATTTGCCGTGTATTTCTGGATCATTGTTTCTTATTTTTTCTTTCATTATAAATGTTATTAAATTTGTTGAGCATTTCATGTTTCTGTAACCATAAATATATGGTGGGGTATGGGAGAGCCAGAGAGCCAGAATGGTTCGTGTACTGTGGAGAGAGGCAGATCTGAAGAGGGAAAGATGGTGAAGAATGGGCTGATGTGGGAAGCTTGCTTGTCACTTGTGGCCACGGTGACATCCAGGCTTGGGCTGCTGCCAAGGGCCATATCTGTGTCTGTGGCCCTGTAGCAGCTGAGATTTGTATTGATGTATGTGGTACCTGTTGCTCCAAAGGTCATGCATGAGGATGCTCAGGATCTGGGCCGACATCTGAAGTCATGCTGGTATCTGAGGGTCATGCCGCTACGGGGCCATCCTGATCTAGGTGGCTTGCACTGCCTCCCAGGGCCATGGAGACATCCAGTGAGGACAATGCTGGGTCCGTGGCTCCACCACAGCAAGGGTGTATGTTGATGTCTGTGGCTCCTATTACCACCAAAGGCCATGCAAATGCCTAAAGTCTACTGGTATCCAAGCATCATGCTGCTACCTGAGGCCATGGTGATGTCAACACCCAGGCTGCTGCCGAGAGTTATGTCTGGGTCTGTGATGGGGTATGTGTTGATGTAAATGGCCCATGTTGCTCCCGTGTTGCTACCAAAGGCCACATGGATGCCTGGGTTCTAGGTCATGTGGGAGTCTAAGGGACATGCCACTGCAGGACCATGCCTGTTCTACCACTCAGGGTCATGGTGTCATCTGGGCCCTGGTTGTGGCTGAGGGGCCATGTCTGGGTCTGTGGCTCCACGATCTGTGTTAATGTTCATGGCTCCTGTTACCATTGAAGATCATGCCCCTCTCTGGGGTGTGGCCACCTAGGGCTATGTTGAAGTCTGGTGATCATGCTACTGCTGGGCTCATGCCAATCTGAGAGGCCCGTGCTGCCACCCAGGGTCCATGGTGACATCTGAGCCCAAGCTGCTGCTGATAGCCTTGTCTGGGTTCTTGGTTGTACGATAGCTGGGGTCTGCATGGATTGTTGAAATAAGAGTGGCGGGGCTGCATCCCCAACACCCCGGCCGCTTGGCTAGCTCATGCCCGAAATAACAACACACAAACTGTATTCATTTAAGAACTGCTTGGCCCATGAACTCTAGCCCTTACAGGCTAATTCTCGCACCTGGACTAGCCCATTTCTAATAATTCGTGTAAGCACCCCAAGGTGCACTTACCGGGAATAGTCTAACCTATGTCCATCTTGAGTCGGAGCTTCATCGCGTGTGCCTCAGAGAGCAGAGCTATCGGGAGAGTGGAGCATGGCGTCTCTGCTCCAGAGCACAGGGCTGTCGGGTCTCTCCAGGAGCAGAGCAGAGTCTGACCTCACTTCCTCTTCCACCCAGAATTCTATTCTGTTTCCTCCTCCCATCTATGTTCTAAGCTATGAGGCCAAGCAGTTGGTTTATTATAATTAACCAATGAACTTCCTCCATCAATGGATGTCCATTTCCCGTGTGAAGATAGGGGCACATGCGAACCTTGTGTTGAACCATGTGTTGAAGTACAAAGACCATGAGGAGTGGGCTCTACCCTCACTGGCCCAGTGAGAGCCAGGCCCCCATTACCCAAGAGCTGTTACCACCCCTCACCACAGGCATGGGAGAGCTTGCTGTGCCCCTAGCCTGAAGGCGGTGGTCCCTTAGGCCGGGACCGACTATCTTGGTTTCCACCCAGGCCCACCTCCAGGGCTTTGAATGGGCATTCCCGAACACATACCCCATAATATGACCTGCTGGTATACATGAAGAGACTGGTCCCACGAACCACATCTGCAGGATCTCCATGAGGTGGGATAACAGCAGGCTATCTGGGGGGAATTTTGGTGAGGGTCCAGTATTGATGGTGTACCAGAGGCCAGAGATCTTGAACCAGACCAACAACACATTATGTAATGAAAATTTGCAAGCAAAGCTGTTTGGACAAAAGGGAATACTGCATGAGACACAGCTCTCAATGGCACTGAGACAAATGAAAAGGCGATGGAGAGGCAGGAAAGATGAAAGAGCAAAGTGGGTTTTGTTGTTAGCTTTTCTGTTTGTTTATATTTGTTTGTTTTTAATTAATATTCTTATTTGGATCATTTATTATTTATTTTTAAGTTTCCCTTTGTGGGGGAATTCTACAAGGGTGAAAAACAGATATGGAGGGAATGGGAAATGAATGAAAATGGGGTACATGATGTGAAAGCCCCTAAGGAGCAATAAAAAGCTATGCTAAAAAAAAGAAAAGGACTATTTGTGCATGTGTGTAGGTGTACACACATGTGCATTTTTATTTGGGTGCCTTTAGTTGTCTAAAGCTTTAAAAATATGTACTGCACACTGGGTAATTTAAATCTACAGAAATTCATTTTCTCATAATCTGAAGGACACAAATCCCAAGCTAAAGTGTTAAAAAGACCTTGTAAGATTTTCTTTTTAAATGTTTTAATTACCATAAAGCTATACGGTCTCCTTCCAGCCATTTCAAACATGGGGGTTTAGTAGACACTCCTCTCCCTCCTTCTCACTCCCCCACCATCTTGGACCTTTCTACCACTAGCAATCTCATTTTTGTTTTCATGTCACAAGTGTTCTATCATGACCCACCTCTTCCTTAATACCCTTTTCCCCTTTCATGGCCCCATTTCCAGTTTGATGGTACACACACACACACACACACACACACACACACACACGCACAATGCACACAAGCACACACACACATGAACATCAAAAGCGACAACCCACATATGAAAGAGAACCTATAGCATCAATCTCTTTGAGTGTGTCTTGTTTCACTTAACATATGATCTCCAGTTGCATTCATTTCAGTATAAATATGAGACTCTTAACTATACAATTATGTTCTATATCTGTGGCTTGGGATAATCTGACTTCTTCCTTTCTTTTTTAACCCCTTTATATCTTTCTCTTGCCTTATTCTCCTAGCTAAGACTTCAAGAAATATATTGAATTAAGAGTAGAGAGAGCAGGCACCCTGTATTCTTCCAAATTTTAGAGGAAATGCTCTCTTTTGCCTTATTTAATATAATGTTGGCTAAAGGTTTACCGTAAATAGCCTTTATTGTTTTGATTTGTGTTTTGCCTATTTCAACCTATTTTAGGAAATTTTTATAACTTTAAGCCATTCAGTGTACAGTATTTTACTAGAACAGTTTTAGTAGACTAATACATTACTATAGAAATATAAGACTATACATACACATGTACAAATCATCTTTTTTCTGAAAATAGCACTTTTTACTTTTCATTTCTAAATTAATATTGTAATATACTCCATCTTTGCATCCTCTTTTAAACATTTAGTAGTTCACTAACTCTAATCTGTGTTGGACATATCCTCTCATTATGGAGGCATTCACTGGAGTGTGGTTGTCCTACCAGAAGTCACACTGTTAAAAAATTGATCATCTCTCCCCCAGAAGCCATCAACTGTCCATAGTTCCTTAGTTAGGAGTTGGAGCTCATGAACCTTTTCATCGGAATGCATTCAATCCTATTGGTTGAGAAAATTTGCTTCTGTGTTCATCTAGGACACTGGCTTGTAGCTTTCTTTTTCTGTTATGTCTTTATCTAGATTTGATGTCAGTATAATAACTGGCTTCACAGAGTTTGTTTTGCTGTGTTCCTTCCATTTCTATTTTGTAGAATAGCTTAAGGAGTGTTGGTAGTAGACCTTCCTTTAACGTTTGATAGAATTCAACAGTCAGTCTTTCAAGTTCTGGGATTTGCTTTGTAAAGGGACTTTTAATTACTGTCTCAATTTTGTTGCTTTTTGTGTGTCTTTTTAATTTGGTTATATCACCTGGTTTTAATTTCAACAGGACATAGGAGTTTAGAAATTTATTCATTGTTTTGAGGTTTTTCATCTTTTTAGTCTAAAACTCTTCAAAGTTTCCCATAGTCTGGACTTCATTGAATTCTGCTTTAACAACTCCTGTCTCATCTCTGATTTTATTTACTTGAGTTTTCCCTCTCTTTTATTAGTTTGGCTAAGATGTTGTGATTATTGTTAATCTTGAAGAACCAACTCTTTGGCTGTATTTTTTAGTTTCTATTTTATTAATTTTTGCCTTAATTTTATTATTTCTAGCCATTTTAAGTTTTTTTTTTGTCCAGTATCCCACTATGTAGCTCCAGCTGGCCTGGAACATGCTGTGTTTACCAGTCTGGCCTCAGACTCACAGAGATCTTCCCGCTCAATGGTCTGGAAGTGAAGCAGTTATAATAAGGATTCCAGGAGCCCACACCTCCAATGCCCCGGAAGAGTTGACAACCAGAGCACAGAGTGGATTCTACCCAAGCTGGGTGCAAACAAAAGCAGGCAGTCTTGGCATCACCCTTTCCCCTCATTCAACAGACACTCATGTACTTTAGATGAAGTCTACAAAAGTTTAGGATACCTTTGTGGTTTCCAGTATGGGCACAGACCTCTAATCTATGCAAGAAGATGATTCACTGGGGATGGACTTGTGGAAGAGTTGAAGACGAGAATTCAAAGGAGAATTCTCTGTGTGGCTTGGAAATATACAGTGGGAACCTGAACATAGGAAACTGGGGGCTCTGGAACTTGCTGCTAGGGAAACCAACACCCTCCTAGCCTCTTTGTAGAGCAGAGATGATCTTCCTTCTATCCCCCAGCCTGCCTTGGTACTCTCACAGCTTGTCCCCTTTGATTAGGTCCCTAAAGCTATCCATAGCAATAGTCATTAATTTTCAGTTGCTAGCAAAAGCCTTTCTACAGTTAAAAATGATGGTAACTGTAGGATAGAACAGAACAGAACTGGTTCCAGAAGGGTAAAAGATTGTTGACATAAAATTGCTATGCTCTAACAACTGAACTTGTTTCTTTTTTATTTTATTTATTTATTTGTTTGTTTATTTATTTATTATGTATTCAGTGTTCTGCCTGAATGTATGCCTACAGGCCATTACAGATGGTTGTGAGCCACCATGTGGTTGCTGGGAATTGAACTCAGAACCTTTGGAAGAGCTGGCAAAGCTCTTAACCACTGAACCATCTCTCCAGCCCCCTGGACTTGTTTCTTAAGATTCACTTAACTGATTCTACAAACACAGATTGTGTACTGGGAGATTCACTATTTTAAATTTTTTTTCCAGAGAAAAATTCAAGCAAACTAGAAGGTTCTAAAAATAGTATGAGCAGCCACAGAGGTGGCTGAGAGGCTAATAGCGCCGACTGCTGTTCCCGAGGTCCCGAGTTTGAGAACAGCTCGCTCTATGTAAATATTCGGAAAAAAATAAAAAAGTAAATAAAAATAGTTTGTGGCAATCAGAATAAATATATTTTATTCAGCACAGGTGGACATAATGTTTTGTTTATATTTGTTTGTTTGTTCTGTGTCAGTTTCAAACGTTTAGTTCAAAAATAAAGTTTCTTGCTTTTCAAAATTGAGGTATGAACATGTGTTGTTTTGAGAAAGGGTCTCATCCTGTGGCCCAAACTGACTTGAAATTCACTATGTAGTCTACAATGATCCCAACACTGGTCCCAATTCATGTTGACTCTCCTAGCTCAGTGTCCCTACTGCCAGGATTTCAAGACTGAGGCACCAGTTGTGGCTGATACTCATTAATATTTAAAAAGAAAATAAAGAGAAATTAATAGAATGGATCTATACAGATGTAAAGAAGGGAGAAAGCAGATTGCCAGATTGTGGGTGTGGTGGAAGGTGCAGACTCTCCTTGGAAACAGGGAAGGGAGAAGTCCAACCTCCCGACGGTGATGCCACTTGTGGGTCCTCAGATTGGCGAGGATCTGGATGAGTGACGGCTGAGGCGTGACTTGCATGCTCACAGAGGGAAGCTGGGCGGAGCCTCCTGTCGAACTGGCCGCCAGGGCTGGGGAGCGAGCTTGGCTGTGACGCGGGGCCCTCACGTGACCCGGGGCTGCAGAAAGACGCAGCCTTGGGTGCAGTCGTCACTCGCGTCTGGACACCAGCTCCGTGCTTCCCTGCGCACGGCGGGCTGGCATCGGGCCCTGGGCGAGCGGAGCAGGTAAGGGGCCCGCATGCAGCGGCCCTGAGGGCGACAGCTTCCGGATGCAACGGAGCGAACCGGAGGACCGTGCAGCGGCACCGCGGCTTTCTGCACCGCAAAGAGAACCGTGGCTGAGCCCGGGAAGGGGCGCTCTGGGCGGTCGGGTGGGCCTGTGGAGGAGAGCGCTGAACCTAGCCCTAGAGAGTGGAGGAGACTGGCTTGATGGTGCCTGAGGGAGGCGGGGTAAAGGGGATGGGCAGTGGGGATGCAGGCGGAGGGGTGCAGAGTGCGGAACTGAGTTCCACACTGAGTCGCTCCCATCCCACCCTGTCTGCAGGTCTGCTAGCCGAGAGTCGCAGCGGAGCATCTGGCAGCGACAATTGAGAGGAGGTCTACGCGGCAAGGGATAGGCCCAGGTCGGTTCAGGGGCTGCCTGTGTGTGTCTGGGTGGAGAGGAGGGGCTGGAGGAGCGTGCGGGAAGCCCTGTCTGGAATGTCAGATACCCCATCTATTCCTTCCCACCTTCCATCCCATCTCCCACATTATACGTCCCATCTCCCCCACCACCCCCATCCACTAACTTCATCCTCCATTTTGATGCCTGCAAAAACCTTAGAGATAGATCTACAGGGAAAATGGTGGGTTGTGGAGAGGGAGGGGATGGGACTGGGGGCCCCCTAGAGGGCGTGTTGGGCCTTTCAGGTAAGAAAATAAAATTTGAAAAACAAAGTAAACATATGGACATTCAAGATAGTGAATGTTGAAAATGGGCCTCTGTCCTCGGTGCTGAACCTTTGAACAATTCCCTTGTCTTCCAGGAGAAATGGAATCCAAAGAGGAACAAGGAGGAAAAAATCTCAACATGGAAAATGACCATCAGGGCAAGGAGGAAAAGGAAGAAAAGCCGCAGGGTGCTAAGAAAAGGGTGCAGCCTGTGGTCCTGCCTCTTGAAGCTGAATACTCTGCGCCTCGAGGAAATCGCAGGCGCTTCCGCATTAGGCAGCCCATTGTGCACTATAGATGGGACCTGATGCACAGGGTCGGAGATCCCCAGGCAAGGATGAGAGAGGAGAACAGGGAAAGGTTTGGGGAGGATGTGAGACAGCTCATGGAGAAGTTGAGGGAAAGGCAGCTGAGCCACACTCAGCGCGCAGTTAGCACTGACCCCCCTCACCATGACCATCATGATGAGTTTTGCCTTATGCCCTGAATCCTGGTTTTCTCTGAAGATAATACGGGGACCCCCTGCTTCAAAAACTTAATGTTTGTGATGTACGGTTGTAAAATTTTTGATGTTACTTGTTCCTCATGGGTCTCCGCGTACTGCCAGCTTCTAATTGAAACATGTGTTTTTGATTCAGTCTTAATTTTTTTGTTGTTAGCAGAATTTATCTAATGCATGGAAAGAATCTCAGTATATATTGTGGAGCTAATAAAGCAGATTTAAAAAGCAATCTTAGTATTTATTATTTAAAGGCTACTTATATATGCCACACTCAAAGGGAAAGTGGTGGAATTAAATTGTAAAAAGGTTGAATACTGGGACTCCTTTCAGTGAAAGTGAGGCAGAAAAACAGGAGACATTTTAGTACCCTGGGGCCCCCATTTGTTTTTGGTTATACCCAGCTTTCCATGGTCTAACAATATACTTTGCTACCTATTCCGTTTGCCTGTGTGCATACACATATCCCTCTCCAAACAATGCAGCCAACAATGGCAGAACCCCTTCAGCCCCTCGCCTGCAGCGTGCTACACATACTCCCATCTCTCAACAAATAATAGTGTGTTACACCCAGGTAACAATCACACTTAGATTGTTTCCATTCAAGTGAATTCTCAAGGTGTCTGGGTGTGGAGAACAGAGGGGCTGATCCTTCTGGCTTAGACTGGTTTGGGATATATGCACTTTAAGGCAAAAGTATATCCTGCAGTAACTTTTTAAGGATAATCCTTTATTTAGCATTGTATTCCTATGAATGACTGTGCATGCATATTAAAATCGGATGCACTGTGACAAGGGACATATGTATTAGGGAAAATGAATGTGTGACTTGATCTGTCAATCAAAGTAAGAGAATCGCCTAAACTAGGTCTCATAGTAACCTTCTCTTAAATCCCATAAAAGGAAGCCCTGAACTATAATGGGGACCTTGAGTGTTTTCACTCATGTGGCTTACTGTCAATATTGACAATGTATCCCTCTGTAACCTACACTATTGCTTTGCTTTAATCAAAATTCACCTTGCTTCTTTAGCAAATCTGGGAGACCCCCGCCCCCCCCCCACACAATTATTTGGTTAAGAGACCTGGGACCTGTAAACACTTTGCCCAGATCCTGACCAGTAACAAAAAAAATTAGATCTTATACTTATCACCCATGTTATTAAGTACCCAGTATGAATAACTCAAAGAGAGAAAGGATTTATTTTGGTTCCTGGTTGCAAACAGTTTCCCCTATTATTGTGGGGAGGATGTTGTGCAGCAGAGTAGCCCACATCACTGTGGCCAGGAGTGGGGGAAAGGGAATGAGAGTGAACACCACTGTTTCTGCCTTCATTCCATCCCTGACCCCAGGTAATGGGATTATGCTGCCCTCCTTATGGGCAAGTCTTTTTTGTTGTTTTTCTCACCTTCATAGAAACAGATGTTTATCTTAGTAATTCTCTGGACATTTCTCAATCCAATCAACTTGTTGTGAGAAATACAGGCTGATATAGCCTGGGTGGTTTATTTTTCTCTGTACTTGGGGGAAGAAATACAATACTTTAAATCACTTTATAAAAAAAGCAAGGCCACTTAATATTCATTAGCAAAAACTAAGGCTTGTAGCCACACAGATAAGCCAAAGAATATTTTTTTACAAATCGAGAATGACATTATTTTCACGCAAGTGAAGCAAGGTCACAAGGGTATGGTTTATCTAGTTTTCAGCCGTCTTCACCTACTAGATGAGCCCTACCTGCAAATTCTTCCTTTTAGGTACCAAGAGCAGGTGGCAGTAGTTCTACATACTTCCTATTTTCTGATCAAGGATGCAGTCTCTGCTGATCATGCTATGATTTCTGCCTGGCTAGGAGCAGGCATGTTCAAAAGGACAAAAATAATGATTGAGTCTGGAGCTCTTTTTTTGTCTGAGTACAGTTCCTAGCAACAGAAGTAACTCTGAATGTATAACTTCCTTTACTAGAAGAGATTGTTGGCAATTTCTAAAATGACTGGACTTATTTATAAATGACTAAATGTTCTCGACAGTATGCTAATCTATTAGTGGTACAAAAATCACTTGGAGTATATTAAATTATGAGTTTATACATGAATGTAAGGTCCCATCCTAGGTTCACTAAATAGGAGTCTAGAACTTTCATTTTTGACAAACATCTTTGGTGATTTTGCTGCTCATTAATGTCTAAAAAGTTACATATACATACATATATATATGCTTATTATCCCCATTCTTAAAGGGTAACTATAGTTAACTTCAAATGCTTTTCAGTGGATCATACAGTGGTTAAAAATAATATTCTTATTACAAAACCCTTTGTTTTTTCCTACGAGCCTACCTTTCTTAGCCATCATTGCTCCAGCAATATCTGAATAGATGTTGACACAATCTTTCCATTGTAAATCTGTATTTGTGAAAATACTGCCTTAGTTAGGATTTCTACTGCTGTAATAGGACACCATGACCAAACATAACTTGGGGGTGACAGATTTTCTTTCATCTTATAATTTATAAGTCCATTCCTGGAGGAAGTCAGAGCAGGAACTCAGGGCAGAAACCTGGAGGCAGAATCAGATGCAGAGGCCATGGAGGAGAGCTGTTTACCGGCTTTTTCCCTATGGTTTACTCATATGGCTCTCTTATATACTCCAGTCAGGTGTATATAACTGGAGTATGTATACTGAGGTGGAACTTTCCACAATGAGCAGTAAAATGCTAGGCCCGGTCTACATCTTGATTACAACTTTGTAAAAGATCTTGAGGCAGAGGACTCAGATGAATCACCCTGGACTCATGACTTCAGATCTTTGGGATCATAAAGTCAGATAGTTTTACATGCTATCTTTGAAATTAGATGCAGAATAAAAAATAAAACATCATGGTTTTCTTTTTATGAATGTGTAAGTGTGGGAGTTGTGCGTGTCTGTGTGTGTGTACAGGTGTGTGAAGATGTATGTATGCATGCCTGTGGAAACCAGAGGACAACCTTAAGTTCACTTCTTCATTTTTAATTTTACTTATTTTATGTGTATGGGTGTTTTGCCTGCAGATATATCTGTTCACTATGTCTGTACCTGGTATCTGAGGAGGCCAGAGGAGGGCATTGGGTCCCTTGGAACTGGAATTATAGACAGTTGTAAGTTGCTTGTGGGTGCTGGGAATTGAGCTCAGGTCACCCAGCAGTCAGCATTCTTAACATTTTAAGATCTCTCTGATGTGGGATGTCCCTTCATATGCTGTGAATATGTTTTATTACTATTGGTTAGTAAAGAAGCTGCTTTGACCTATAGCAGAGCAAAATATAGCTAGGGAGAAAAAGCCAAAATGAATACGGGGAGAAAAAAAGGCAGAGTCGAGGGAGATGCCAGCAGCCTCTGGAGATTGATCTCTACCTTCCCAGTTCTAGGTTTTATAAGCACTTGACGCCATGTCAAACTTCCATATTTTATAAAACATTGGCTCTGAGGATAAAATGCAGGTCCCCATTACTGCAAGGCAATCTCTCCAGCCAAAAGAGAATGTTGTTTATTAAAATAAAATAAAACAGCTAAAAATATTTTTGCATATTAAAATTAACAATGTACAATCTGTATTCAAATTCTCAGTAGTCTCATAAAATTTAACCCCAAACTATATAAATTGATATAAATTATGGGAGTCTAAGGAATATTTTTGCCTTATCAGGTTATAAAATATTAGGAGCAACCTATGTAAATATTTCTACTAATTCATAGCTTTTTTAAAAAAGTAACTTAAAAAACTGTTTCCAATTTAATATAAACCTGGAGCTATAGGCTCAGAAAGTCTAGCAAATACTAGAAGAAAAGCCAATCTCTTATATGCAATGAAAATTAATTATATACTGAGGGTCAGTGAGGGCTTTCACATAAATAACAGAATAATAAAAAAAACCATTCTTTTGACCCAGTATTGGTGGCACACGCCTTTAACCCAGGCACTTGGAAGGCAGAGGCACACAGATCTCTGAGTTTGAGGCCAGTCTGGTCTAGAGTGAGTGAGTGCCAGGACAGCTAGGGTTACATAGAAACCCTTTCTCTAAAAACCAAAAATCAAATCAATCAAACAAAAAATTCATTTATTTTATAGTATCATCTTATTTTGTCAATGCTTGATAAAAACTTACATTTAACAAGATTTCTTAAAATAACCTGTTTATCCCTTAAAGAAGAAAAATGCTAGAAGACACAGAAGGCTGAATTTAGAAATATTCAGGCATCTGTTGTGAAACTACCTGTCACACTTGTGGTAAACATCTATAATGAAAAGTTGTATTTCATTCTATACTAGAGTGAAACCATAGGCTGAAAAATGAAAGAGCAGGAATTTGAAGCCCTTTAATCATCTGATTTGATTGAGTAAGCGATGGCATCTTAGCAAAAAGACCTTTGAGGTTTTTCTCAAGAAGCTCAGATTTTGGATATTAATATGAATAAATGGAGGCTATAATCTCTAGGGGATCTCTGTTCTTAGAAATGGGAATGCCCTCTTAGGACTATAAATTGGTGAATCTGACAACATACATTATTTTCCATTTCTGCTGATAAATAACTTATCAGTAAAATCTCTGTTAGCGCAAATCTGAAAAATTTGGGAAAATTAAATATTTAATCGATGTCATCTTTATTGCCTTGTAGGCATAGTTATAGAAGGGTTTTAGAGAAAAAACTGATGATGATGATGATGGCAACAGCAACAGGCTTCTTGTAGCTACTTTAAGTGGCTTGAGATTGAAACAGGTAAAAGCTGAATGGCAAACGTTAGATGTTAGTAAGGAAATTGTAAAATGGATGCCAGAAATGTAAAGCAAGAGACAGCAAAGAGAAGAGAAGATGGAAACACAGGGCAGGAAAGCAAAACAATTCCTGGTTTTGGACCATAATATCCATCTGGCCTGAGAAGCAAAACTTATTAAGAAAAAACATTAATGAGTGAATATTCAAGGTACTAAAGTACCTGTTTAAATAGAACTAAGAGTTACAGTCAGTGAGAAATTTATAGTAAAATGTTTTAATAGAACTGGAGAATAAAATTGACTTGAGTTTCAGAGGAATAAAATGTACCACACATACTTAGAAACATTGTAATTAACAGAAGAAGTCTATGTAAAAGTGTTGGCTACAGTGGCAGTGGGAGGATTGCAGCACTTGGGAGGCAGAGGCGGGAGATGGGGGAAGTCTGTGAGTTCAAGGTCAACCTGTTCTACCG